TGCTAGCTCTAGAAGGTGGCTTTCTCTCTGTCAGCTTGGGGGGAAAGTCATTGTCTCCTTTCTACATCTGTGGACCCAGCATTCCTTGGAGATTTCCTTGTGTCTTGGCATCAATCCTCCTGTGGGTCTAGGAGGTTCTCAGCAGAGACTCTGAATCTAAAAGCAGAGACTCCCAGATCTTCTTTCTTGGTGGTATTCAGATATGCTTCTTTCTTCTTGAATGTAAAATTACACCATTTATGTGAGATGATCTAAATAAGATTCATTTACACAATAAATATTTTATTGAGCCCTTAATTATAGTTTTGTTGTTGTTAAGTGCTGTTGAGTCAATTCCGATCCATAGCAACATTGTATAGGGTTCATGAGGAGCAGCTGGTGAGCTTGAACCGCTGAACTTGAAGTTCAAATGGCTTTGCATTCTGGCACATTAACCTACAGCGCCACACCAAGACACCAACTATGGCTTTGTGTAGTGCGCTAAATGCTAGGGAGACAGGAGGTAACAAAATAAATATGATACAGCCCTTTGGAAAACGTTTGCTTTGAGCCTAGGAAGTGCTGTAATGGGACAAAAATGGATGCTTTGAGAGTTGGGGAGGATTCGCCAGAAGAAATGCCATCGAGGCTTATACCTGAAGAATGAGTTGGAGGTGGGGATGGGGAAGAAAGGCAGATATAACAGTTATAATGAAAGTCTAGAGGGAAGAAAGTACATGCTGCATTTCAGGAAATGAAGTTTTATGTGTAGGATTTTAGGAAAAGTGTGGGAATAAGGGCTGGAGACGTGGACAGGAACTATATTCTGAAAGGCTTTGTAAGCCCCACTACAAGAATTTGACCTATATTTTTAGGGCATTGAGAAGCCTCTGAAAGGTTTTTGCACAGCAGTGACATAATGTAAAAAGACTGCTCTGTCTAAAGAGTGGAGGGTGATAACAGTTTTTGTTGTTGTTATGTGCCATTGAGTAGACACTAACACACAGTGACACTATGTACAACAGAACGAAACATTGCCTGGTCCTGGGCCAACCTGATAATCGTTGCTATGCCTGAACCCATTGCTGCTGCCACTGTGCCAATCCGTCTTATTAGGGTTCTTTCTTTTTCACTCTGCCCCTCCACTTTACCAAACATGATATCCTTCTCTAGGGACTGGTCCCTTCTGATAATATATCTGAACTATGAGAGATGAAGTCTGGCCATCCTGACTTTCAAGAAGCATTTTGGCTGTACTACTACCAACACAGATCTGTTTGTTCTTTTGGCAGTCCATAGTACTTTCAATATTCCCCTCGAGCACCATAACTCAAATATATCAATTCTTTTATGGTTTTCCTTATTCACTGTCCAACTTTCACATGCATATGAGGTAATTGAAAATACCCTGGCTTGGGTCAGATGCACCTTAGTCCTCAAACTGACATCTTTGCTTCGACACTTTAAGAGATCTTGTGCAGATTTGCCTAATGTAATATGTCGTTTGATTTCTTGACTGCTTCTTCCATGAATGTTGATGGTTAATCCCAGCAAAATGAAGTCTTTGACAACTTCAGTTTTCCCTCCATTTATATGGATGTTGTTTATTAGTCCAGTAGTGTGGATTTTTGTTTTCTTTACACTGAGATGCAACCCATAATGAAGGCTGTGGTATTTGATCTTCATCAGAAAGTATTTTAAGTCCTTTTCACTTACAGCAAGCAAGGTTGTATCATCTGCATATTGCAGGTTGTTAATGAGTCTTCCATCAATTCTGATGCCATGTTTTTCTTTATATAATCCAGCTTCTCGGATTATGTGTTCAGCATAAAGATTGAATAAGTGTGGTGAAAGAATACAACCATGGTGCATACCTTTCCTAATTTTAAACCATTCGATGTTCCCTAGTTCTGTTCGAACAACTGCCTTTTGCTCTATGTACAGGTTATTCATGAGCACAATTAAGAGGTCTGGAATACTTACACTCTGCAATGTTGAATATAGCGTGTCATGAGGCACATAATCGAAAGCCTTTGCATAGTCACTAAAGCACAGGTAACCATCTTTCTAGTATTGTCTACTTTCAGCCAAGATCCATATGAAATCAGCAATGATATCTCTCATTCCATGTCCTCTTCTGAATCTGGCTTGAACCTCTTGAAGTTCTCTGTCACAGTATGGATGCAGCTGTTTTTATATTATCTTTAGTAAAACTATACTCACATGGGATATCAATAATATCTGATGATTTCTGCATTCCGTTGATTCACAGTTTTTTGGAATGGGCATGAGATAGAATCTCTTCCAGTTTATTGGCCAGGTAGTTGTCTTCCAAATTCCTTGGCATAGATGAGTGAGTGGCTCCAGTGCTGCATCAGTTTTTGGAAATATTTCAATTTGTATTCCATTTATTCCCGGTGTCTTGTTTTTTTGCCAATGCCTTGAACTTCTTCCTTCAGGATCAATTGGCTCTTGATCAAAAGCTACCTCTTGAAATGGTTGAACATTGACCATTTATTTTTGGTACATTGACTCTATATATTTCTTCCATCTTCTTTTTTTCATTTTTTTATTTTTTAAGTTTTTATTGTGAATTATGTGATAGTTTACATGGCAGAACATTAGCTTTACATTCATCCTGTTGTATTTTGTTTCATTGAAATGATTACAGTCTCCTTCATGCATCATCAAACAACCAAAGGGTACACCCCACACGCCTGCCCTGAATTGTTTTTGTTTTAATGTTTTATTGTGAATTATGTGATAGTTTACATAGGAGAGTCCTGGTGTGGCACTGTGATTTAATGTGCCAGACTGCAGAGCTGTTTGAACTACAAGCTCAGTGGTTCAAGCTCACCAGTTGCTCCTTGGAAACCATATGCAGGGTCACTATGGGTTGGAACCAACTCCACAGCACTTAACAACAAAAACAACATGGGAGAACATTAGCTTTACATTCATCCTATTGTATATAATTTCATTGCCATGGTTACAGTCCCCTCCAGGCATCATCAACCAACCAAAGGGTATACCCTGCAAACCATCCCCCTGGTCATCAGCATACAGCTCCTCTCCCTCTCTGGGTCTGCAATCCCCAGCTGCTCCATCTCTCCACATCATTGACTCTGTCTCCATCTCTGGTGTCACTGCTTCTCTGGGTAGGGTCCTGCACTCCACTCTTCTCCTTTGATGGTCCCAGGGACCTCCGCTCCTGGACTGCAAAGTCAACCACTCCCCTCCTTTTGCTACAAAATGTCTACCTTTACATTTCCAACCCTCACAGTCAGTCCTGATAGCAATCATTCTTTACTGTGCCACATGAGAGCCATCCCCATGTCCTTTCATCAGCCCTGCCCAGACAAATTGGCTGCTACTATGTGGAGATTCTGCCTTCCTCCAAATCCTCTGGATCTAGGGTCCCACTTGAAAGCTTGTAAGCAAGTCACTTCTTACCTTTGTAGTCGCCTCCCCCCCGCCCCCATTTTGGGTAGCCAGTGTCCAAGTTGCCTATCCATGTCTACCCTGTGTATCGAGGGGGTGGGAATGATCTTCACTCTAAAGATTTGTTCCTTCTTTTGAGCTACTGCATCCATAGGTATAGGTTAAGTTCATCATTGTATCAGATTACTCTTTTCCTCTTCTTTCTTCTTCTAGTTGAATTCTGATCGTCCAGCCATTGAAGCAAGGTCAAATGGGTATTATCTGCAAGTGTGGGTGTTCTTGTGCATATGCCCTCTCTTCTTATCACCTGGACACTTCACTCTCCACTCTAGTCCTCTGTGGCTATGTCACTGACTCTGGAGTCCCCAGGTCTTGCCACACTGCTGGCCAACCAGGTCTCCATCCGGGTTCACAGGAGTCTATTGAATGTGGTAGGGCTTAGCCTGCTGCTTCGTTGCTGTTTTTCCCTCACTTCAGTGACCATGGTCACCAGTCAGAGCACATGTCTGTTCGTGTATTCCCATTGAGTCTTACTTAGAAGGCAGTTTGCCTGGAGGGGACCCGACCACTTGCCTTGATGTCTCCTGGGCGAGCAACTTGCTTGTTATTGTAGTAGTCAGTCAGACTGCCATTATTGTTTTGTATTTTTCCTGTCGGTCTTTCTTTTAAGAAGTATCTTCTGTTCTTCTAGTCACTCTTGAACTTGTTTTAATTAATTTGCATATAACAATAGCTTCATATATGTATTCTCACTTAATTTTTATACCAAGACCCTGAGTAGGTGTTATCTTAATTTTGCAAATGAAGAAATTAAAACTTGATCTTACTTCACTCATACAAAGTCATATAATTAAGAAGTGGAGTCATGAATCCACATCTGACTTTAAAGCTATATTGCCCTATTGTCTCCAGCTAGCAATGATTTGTTGTGACCTCTTTCATGTTGAACCTGTGGAAAATTCTTATTCTTGCAGTAGTAGTGGCACAGCCCAGGATTGTTTACACAGTGCTTCACAGCATCTATTTCATTAAGTCTTCATAAAATCTCTATGAATTAGGTGGTAGTGTCATCCTGGTGTGGCACTGTGATAATGCACTGGACTGCAAGGTCTATTTGAACCACAAAGTTTTGAACTGACTTGATGGCATTTTAACAACAACAATAACACCAACAATCCCCAATTTAAGGCTGTCTGTTGATGCAGTGGGTTAAGCATCAGGCCTGCTAATCAAAAGGCTAGCGGTTCAAACCCACCCATTGTTCTGTGGGGGAAAGATGAGGATTTTTGTTCTCATAAAGATTTGCAGCCTCAGAAAACCCTAGAGAACAGTTCTCTGTGCTGTAGGGTCTCTAAGAGTTGGAATTGACTTGACACTAGTGAGGTTTTGATCTGTATTTTACTGTTATGAAAACTGAGAGTGCCCAAAAAGTGGTGGACCTGGAACTTGAACAAAAGGCTCTTGATAGAGGAACGTCTTTGTTTGTGAGTACCTTAAGAACATGCCACACTTCATTTTTGGGGGTCTGTGCCCTATGATGATTGATTGTGTAAATGTTTATAAGGTTTTTTTCCTTCCAGGTTTTGGGGATCACATTCATTGGAGGACACTAGAAGATGGAAAGAGAGAAGCTGCTGCCAGGTATGAGCTGTGATTTTAGGCTATTTAGGTGGCAAAAGTACTTTTCAGCCATCAACTTAGTATTAATTTCAGGTGAAAGGTTATGCTAAGCCAGCACGAGATCTGAGTAGTTGCCTGATAACAATGACAATAAGTTGTATGAGTAGGTTCTGACTCATAGTAACCTTATATAGAAGATAGATTGCTCAGTCCTGCTCTGTCTTTACCATCATTACTACGTTGTTGCAGCCACTGTTAATCCATCTCACTGAGGGTCTTTCTCTTTTTGCTCACCCTGTGTCAAGTCAAGCATCATGTCCTTCTCCAGTGATTGGTACCTCTTGATGCCATATCAAAAGTAATTGACACAAAGTCTCACCATTCTCATGACAATATTTACTAAGGTACCAGGCAGTGATCTAAACATTTTATGTGAATTAATTTATTTCTCACACAGCTCTCTAAGGTGAGCATTGTTGTTATTGTCAAGAGAAAACTAAGGCACAGAGCAATAAAGTTACTTGCTCAAAATCACACAGCTAGTAAACAACAGAGCCAGGATTCAGACCCAGGTATTCTGGCTTCAGAGTTTGCCCTCTCAGCCCATATACCATGTTGTCTAATTGTCTCAAGTGGAGCAGGTTGGTTTAATGTATGCACAGACAACACATACAAAGGAGAAGGAAAAGGCAGGGCGGGAGAGGGAAAGAAACTTTTTGAGAATTTAGGTTTTAGGTTGTGGTAATGACTTTTCTGCTAACGGTTTGATAATGCAATGAAAACACCTATGTCATTTTCAACTTTTAAACAAGATTGGGTAACAAAGCTGTTGATGGCTGTGGTATCTTATTGAAAAAAATAAAAATCACAATTCTTTCCTTTTGGTCATGTCCCTTAATATACACAGGAATGAGGTTAAAATGAGACTACAGATCTTGTTGCTTTTCACTGCTTCTTTTACTCTCTTAGATGGTCTTAAATATCTGAAACTTCTTCCTTAGAATCTTTGTTCATGACTCCTGGTAGAATAATCCTTGATTTTAAACACGTGGTGGTGGTGTGCCGGGGATTCTGTTCCGA